CTGTCTGTCCGAGGCTGGTAGACGCCGGTGATCGAGGCCTCGCCATTTCGCAATGACCAACTGCCCGGCCCGGCGGCGGCGACAGTGGCGGCGGAGGACTGGACTGAGCGGGGCCTCTGGCGGACTCGAACTCAGAATCGGGCTTCTCATCAAAACGCTCCTCCGCCTCTTCTGGCGCCTCTGAGGGGCGACGGCGAGCTGGCAGACTTGTGATGCTACCGGAGCGAATCACTTCGCCGGATCCGTTCTCGACCTCCTCATGCTCGAACATGGCGTTCGGTATCTGCTCCGGATCGCCCTGCTTAAAGCTGATCAGCCGACGATTATGGCTCTGCCCGTGCCGGTGGTGGCCATGTCCTCCTCCGGCCGACCCCGACTTGGCCATCAGTTTGGCCTGCGCCTCGAGGCGTCGGGCAGCCTCCGTGAGGATGGCCTCGGTCGACTGGTCGCCTACAGCCATGGCCTGTGGCGGATGCGGTTGCAGGCTGGCCAGGCCCACGCCGATCTTGCGACGCGGCTGAGCCAGTCCCGTCTCCGGACTCCGAGGGCGTGGAGTGATGCTGGCGCTGTTGCCAGGCGAGTTCGACTGACGCTCGGCAACACCGACCTCCTCGGCGTCCGGCGCGAAGACAAGTTGGTCATTACCGGCACCACTGACCTTTGGGGTGCTGGTGTGCAACACCTCGCCTGCTGCCTCGATCGCCTCCAGATCGGCCTCAATCTCGGCGTCAGTCATGTCGTCATCGTCGGCCGGCAGATCATCGTCTCTCGCCGCCGCATCTTCTGCCTCTTCCCTAAATGGGTCGTCTTGACTACTGGAAAAGACCGAGGACGGCTGTTCCGACGGCGTCATGGGGCTGTCATCGGCCCTCTCCAGGTCCTCTTTGAGAATGTGAGCGAAGTTTCTGTCACCCTCCAGCGTCGGATAGTCCGACGAGCAGATAAATTCGCTCCGTCGGCCGACAACAAAATGCGTCCTCATCTTGCCTTTGCCCTAGATTTCCAATTCGCCGCCAAACAGATGTGTACATTGATAGAGCAACGAATGAATAAATCGACAGTGACGATAGACATTCCGTTGTCGTGAAAAGTATAGTCATCCTAGTTTGCACTAGATGGTGAAGACGGATAGTTCAATTTTCCTGCAATTCTATCATATCATATCATTTTGAAAAAACCCACCTATCCCTTCTTCATCACCTTGCGTGACCTACGATGAATACAGCTTCGGTCAACATTATGCCTTTGTCAAGTGCACAATTATAAACTGCCCTGGGTGAAGCACATATGAGATTTTCTTCATCATTTTCCCACTCCAAATTATGATTCACATCTATCCAAACAAAATGCTCTCCACTATATTACTCGAGCCTTAACAACAAGACATGATAAAAATATGAATTGATATGTCCTTCCTTCTTAGCCATCCACACATTAAGTCGGTATCAGCATCTCGTATTTAATGAATAAAAACGTGGTCATTTGGTCGTATTGTCAGGGTGACCTTGAAGAACGCATCTTGTTCGGAGTTCATAGCATGTATGATAATTTCCAAAGTTAGGCCGTGGACCTGGTAAATTTTCAGACATTTCGCCGGCATATAGAAGTGGGTTGACCTCGTTGTCGCAACTTGGTCTTGTGTTCAGGGAGACTATGTAGAACGCACC